TGCTGAAATGCCAAAGGTGGCGGCGGCTGGTGGGCGGTTCTCGGAATGTTGCTGTTTTTGTTATCTCTGGTGCTGAAAGCGGCAGGGTAAGGGCGTAGGGAATGTCGCTGCACAGATGGTTGCTCCATGTATTGCAATAATGAAATGCGTTGCCGCATCTGCATCTGTTTGCAATGTAAAATGTTGCATGCATATAATTTTGCAACAATATTTGCACTGCGATCACTCTTTGCGCTGCTATGCTCTATGCCGTTTAGCGATTTTATGGCATCTGTTTTGTTGTTGCCTTTAATTTTGTTGTTTGCATTGTTTGGTAATGTGCAACACTGTTGGTTGCTGGCTGGCTGGCTTGGTTATATGGTTGTTGTAATATTCATTGTATGTTGACTGTTGCGGAATGATGGCGCACAGAAGTTTTGCTAATCTCAAAAGTCGCACAGTGGTTTTGTTGGTGTTAAAGATGTGTTAAAAATTTCTTTTTTTTTTTCACTGAAGAATACTGAGTTTTGGCATATTATTATTTTTTCTGGGTAAAATTATATCCCTTAATCTCTCAGTCTTTTGAGTATCGATCTGAAAATTTTCATACGTTCTTTTTTCTGTAAAAGCAACTCATTTGTTGGAACCGTCGATATCGGACGACTCTGTCATATATAGCTGTCATATAAACTTAACCATCGAAATCTTCTTTTTTTGTTGAGATATTGGCTGTTCGAAAAAGTCTTTTCGTATTTCTAATTAATCTTCAACTCATTTTCTTTTATATATTTATAATGAGCATTATTGAACCAAATACATACGTACCATTTTCTTCGACCACTTTTTACCATTTTCCACTGGAGATATTATTCCATCGGTTATCGGCGAAAAGCTGCGACAAGTAATTTTCACAGGCTTTTCTTGAAGTCAAGTTACTCCATTAGGGGAGTTCTGCATTAACCGAAACAAATGATAATCTGATGGTGCAAGGTCAGGGCTATATGGTGGAAGCATCACAACTTCCCATCCAAACTCTCCCAGTATTTTCGGTGTGCCCTAGCGTTGTCCTGACGGATGACGAAGCCCTTTCTATTGATCAGTTCTGGCCGTTTTTTTCGATTGCTTCCTTCATTGTTCACAGCAAAATGTAGAATCTATCGTTAGACCAGACTGAAGCAGCTCATAGTGGATGATTCCTTTCCAATCCCACCAAACACTCAGCATAACCTTTCGAGGCGTCAATCCTGGCTTTGCGACCATTTGTTGAGCTTTACCAAGCTTGGACCATGATCACCTCACACATTATTTTCATATCGGATCCATTTTTCGTTTTCTGTTACCAATTGCTTCAGAAATGGTTCGATTTCATTAGAAATCGCAGATATTAATTCCGTCAATTAAAATTTTCACAGACAATTCATGTGGTACTCAAACATCGAGCTTCTTTTTGTAGCCAGTATTTTTAAAATAATTCAAAACCGTTTGTTGATGAGTGTTAAGTTCCTTAGCGATGTAATGGCTGTTTATGTGACGGTCCTATTCAATCCTTTAATAATTTTATCGACTTTTTCAATGATAGGTCGATAATTTTTCACATCCAAATTTCCAGAATGGAAGTGAGCGAACCATTGTGGTGCTAAACGAACTGATACAGCAACGTCTTCGTAAACTTCACAAATTTCATTGGTGGCGTGCGTGTTATTTTTCCCTTTTTATAGAAAAATTTTCAAATATAACGAATTTCTTCATTAATTTCAAAAAATTCTTGAACAGTTGTAACTTTTTTAAACTTTTGGTTAAATGAAGCTTAAAATCTCACCTTTCCAAGATTATATGCATGGTGTGGCACAATGTGATTGGTAGTACGTTAGACTGCGATGACATCTATTGACAAAATACAAAAATACTACCCCATATATAAAAAAATAATTGCTGTTCGTTAGTCTCGCTAAAACTCGAGAACGGCTGAACCGTTTTGACTAATTTTAGTCTTGAAATATTCGTGGAAGTCCAGGAAGATTTGAACGGTGAGGAAAAATGAGAAAATTGGAAGGAAAATATCAAAAACGTTTCGGCATTTTTATAATAACCTTCAATATACAATCTTGAGGCAGTACAAAGATTGACGGGACAGCTAATATACATATAATATATATATACCATCATACTTGTGTGCGTTTGTGTCACTGAATTTCAGTCAAGATTCTCAGACAAAAAGAGATGTCACAATCGAAATATTAAAATAGCTTCCTTTAGAATATTACTATTTCTTCGGGCTTTTCAAGCTTCACAGGCGTTTCCGTCGTACTGTAAACCAAGCGTTATTACAAATTTAACATTGATGAGAGTCAACATTTCCTCGAATGATAATCACTTCTTACTACATAGATAAGCCAGATAGCAAAGCTCGTAGGTATCTACTTATATGTATTTTACTCTATGAAGTCAAGTTGATCTTTCGTTTATATATTGGAGGGTTAAAAATTGATAAGGTTCTCACTTTAGTAGGGTTGTGATTTGAGTGCCCATTAGCTTATTTTTCGTTTCTCGAAAACCGTCTCTCTATTTAAGGATTTGTTTCAGAACTTTTAAGAGTTCGTTGAACCTTTAAATATATGTTTTAAGAAGTATGTTTTACGAGTAGCCCTCCACTTTTTATGTGTCTATAATCTAGTCTAAGATAGTTTCAGTTATCGCTTAAAAATGTACCTATGTCGTTTGGTTACTATTTCTGTATATGCTTTATCTTGAGGTTAAGTTCACTAACCTTCCTGTAGTTGGCTCAGGGTTCTGTAGTGGGTCTCTACCTTTGCATTAACAAACTATTTGATATCATGATTTGAAGAATGTTCCATGCTTTAACAAAGGAGTTCTTTCAAAACTTGAACTGGGAGTATGTTCAACTCTTTGCAACTCATCTGCTCAATAGCTCTCCGATAAACTGACTGCTGGGTCAAATTCCTTTAGTTCTTGCAAAGAAGTTTTCGTATTATATATAAGTAGAAGTCCAATCTATTATGTTTTTCATAAATCAGAAAAGTATGAGAAAGATTTCGATCCTTATGGCCAGCCTATATGAGTATTGCATCATTAGAATTTATAAGGGTTACATTTAATCTAAATTTGGGATAATATAATAAATTGTGTGTTAAGACAATAAGGAGCTGTTTATACTCTGAACAGGGTATATTAAGTTTAGCACGAAGTTGGTAAGGCCTAGAAGAAAACTACGGATACCCTATTAAATATATACATATAAATGATAAGAATGTGAAACTGAGTCGATTTAGCGACGTCCGCCTGTCTGTACGTCTGTATATACGCGAACTCCTCTCTCAGTTTTTGAGATTTCGTTCTGAATTTTCTCTCTTTTGTCGGAGCCGACATCGGACCACTACAGCATATAGCTGGCACATCTTCACGAAATTTGACACGAATTTTTGTTCAAAGGAACGGTACAACCTTCGAAGAATTGGTTCAGATCGGGTCACTATAGCATATTGTCGGAACCGTCTCCGGAACACCACAGCATTGAGCTGTCATATCTTTACGAAATTCGGCACGAATTATTGCTTAAAATAATGATAGAATCTTCGAAGATATGGATCAGACTACTATGGCATACGTATGTCATACAAACTGACCCATCAAATTAGTGTTTTTTCATGGTTTTTTTTTGGTATTTTGAAGGGTAATATAGTTTAGGTGTGACTGAAGTTAACATTTTTATTTTCGTTTACTCATCCTTTGCTCGGTAGTTCTTCGTTATATCAACTCAATTTTTTTTTAGTTCTTTCAAGGAAGATTTGTTGTTGCAATCCCATTGATGGAAAAGTGCAATTTAATAGTTTTCCTTAGAACAAGAAAGTTTCGAGGTCCCTGTAGTCCTTGTGATTATAATATGATGTCTATACGTATACTGAATCCCTTTATATTTAGTCTACGTATAATACTTAAACTAGATCTGAAACTAGGCAAAAACCAAACATTGTGTTTCTTGGAAAATAAACAGCACTCTAGAGACTAAATATGCCATCTTTTGGCAATTTTTTACCGTTACATTTAAAAAAAAAACAAAAAGGACTGCAGAAAATCCTAGCTCGAAGCCAACTTAGCACACTGTGCGACTGTTACTCTACCAACTTTGCAATGTAGTTAGATTAACTGAGCTTGTGGCATCAAAATTTATCAACGCAACTTAAGATATTATTTCATAAAATTCACTTACAGTGTGCGACAAAAGTTTGCGCTTTCTCGCATAAATTTAAAGCAAAACTTAAGACACTTTACTAACACTGCTGCAAGAATTTAAACCTTTCAATTACCTACCATTTAACGGCATTACACTGCTATGTCGCTTGACTTTTTTTTCTTGACTGCACACAATTAAACCGTTTTTTTTCGCAGCGAGAAGCTAATCGAAGATTATTTGCCTCAAACATCATTATAAAATTCTACATTAAATATTCGAGAGCTGGAAATTTCCGCTTTTCAATGTAAGTAACTGTGGAGCTAAGGAGACGGCGAGTGCTTGAGAGAGTGAGAGTGCGCGCATTGTGTAAGATTCCTTCTACTTTTACTTAACGGTAGGTGCGTTCGACTTGGCTGATTCTCAAGATTACAATTTCCGCTTACAATATGCGTCAATATTTAAACAGAAATTAAAAGAGAAAATTTCGAAAAAGGAAACAAATCTTTCGCACCAAGTGTGAGTAGAAAAAATATCAACACACTGATAAAGTTAACAAAAGGTAAATACCGGTGTATGAATAATAAAAACGTGTGCAAATTTGCGCACCAAATCACACACAAAAGTGAGAGCGGGCGGGGAAGCCAGCCGGCAGCGGCGGCAAAGAAGATACTACACAATGCCATAACATCCTTTCGCGCGGCGCACTCATTTGACAGGACGGAGGCGTTGCGGACTAAGTAAAGCCAGCAGCAGGGACCAATGCAAGCACGGAGGCAGTCAGGCAGAGAGGCAGGTTGGCATAACACAGGCACACGCTTGTTTTACTTACCTTCGAACTTTTCATACGCAGCGAAGCTTAACTTCTCCGGCACATAAGATAGACGCCGACAGCCGCTGATATACTCCAAATGCGCGGCCATGCCGGTGGCGCTCGCACTTCCGTTTGCATTGGCGTTAATAGCGTTTGCGGCGGCGGCGGCGGCTGTAGCTGCTGCCTTCTCAGCCGTGAGCGAGGCGACTCGTTTGAGTACATTGTTGCTGGGTGTGGCTGGTGTCAAAGGTGTTGCTACTGTTAGAACGCCAGTTTCTGTGGATGCCAACGCTCCTGCTGTTGTAGTTGTTGTTGCTGTAGCATTCGTAGGCGTTGATGCAGCAACTTCCGATGCTGTGCCAGTCGCCGCAGCCGCTGTCGCTGTGGTTGTGGTTGGGGTAGACACGCTAGCGGTTTCCCGTTTCGTCCGTGTCGTTGGAGGCGGTGTCGCTGGTGCTGGCGATTGTTGCTGTAGCTGTTGCTGAGACTGAACAGGTGTTTGCGATGATTTAAACGAAATTATAACGGTTGATTGAGTTTCTGTCGAAGGCGGCAACTGTTTGCTGTTCGTTGTGCTGGCATCTGGCGAACGTGAAGGTGTTGTTGTAGGCGTAGGCGTTTGTTGGTGCCGGTGGTGGTGATGGTGGGGCCGTAGTATCCGCCGTCAAACCATGAAAGAAACAAGAAAAACGAAAAACACGTTTCTTTGTTAACAAAAATGAGACGAACTTATATTCTTTGTAATTGTTTGCGGGCTCTACTACTTTGGCAGGCGGTGATGAGCCGGAAAAAAGGAAATGAAAAGAAAAAGGAAATCAGCAAAAAGTAATAAAAAGTCCATATAAAAATAAAAGAAACAAAACAAAAAAAAAAAAAAAAAAAAAAAAAAAAAAAAAAAAAAAAAAAAAAAAAAAAAAAAAAAAAAAAAAAAAAAAAGAGAACAAATGAAAGGCAATGAACCTTGCCAATAAACACAATAATGGGATAATAAAATAAATAACCTCGGAAAAACAACCCCCTCAACTGCGGGGCAACAAGGAAGAAACATTTGTGCCGTGGTTTGTCTTAAAGAGGCGTTAATAAGAAGAATATATATGCATATGATGGAACATTTTTACAATGTGTAGTAAGAGCGGTAAGAAGCTAGATAATTAGCGCTGTAATGAAAACCCCGGAGTTGGAAAGTTAACATTTTCGAATGTTTGGTAGTTCGTTTTGGATCCAGTTTTACTTTGTTTCTCACATTTCTTGAGCTTGAATTGCCTTAAGAAACAAATCTTAGAAAAATCGGTAGAAAATATTCCATCTAGCTGCTAAAGACACGCAGAATGTAAGATCCCAACTTGTTCGCGCCTATTTGCTGCTATTCTGAGAGCACCCAGTTCTAAAGTATAGTCTTTTAGAGCAATCTAAGAAACATCAAGGTTGATAGATGATGGATGAAATTACTCTCCACATAGATATACAAAAAAAGGTTGCTTCGGAAAGAGCAAGTTTACAACTATGATGATGATGATCCTTCCCGCAAGATAGCGGCCTATAGACGGATGTCGGATACCGATAGTTTGCAGTATCAAACTTCAGTTTACCGTTCACAGTCGATTCAATAAATTAGTAGAGTTTTCAGCTTGGTTTTGGCATGAGAGTTGGCTGCAGATTAAACTCCTAAAATATCCTTTGTGGAAAACGGAGTAGGAGGTTAGGTCTCCAAAAAATGTTGCTTCGAAAGATAAAGCTTTCGAATATTAAGGTTGTTTCGGACGAGCAAGCTTCCAACTAAAAATGATCGTATTCACAAGAGAACGGCCCATAGACAGATGTTGGATACCGGGAGCTTTTAGTTTCAAGCACCGTCCACAGATCGGTTGAATAGATTAGTAGAATTTCAGCTGGCTGCAGATCATACTCCTAAAGGATCATGGGGTAGATCGGAGTGGCGGGTAGGACTACAACAAAGGTTTGCTTCGAAAGAGAAAGCTTTCAAATATTCCAAAAGATAACGATCCACAGCGGATTGCACCCTGTTAGTTTCCCATATCAAGCTCTAAATCACAGTATTTAGTTAGTTGAATAACTTAGTGAGTTTCGATGTGCGAAATGTCCGCTGAAGATCAAAGCCTTAAAGTAACCTTGTGGAGATCTGAATAGCAATTATTTGATGAACTGGACTGAAAAGCAGAACGCTGAGAGTCAGTGCCTCCCAATATCAAGCTCCAGTTTACTAAAGACTGTAAAACTGGTTCCATAAATTAGTAGGACTTATGCGAACTAACTGCAGATCAGAGCCTTAAAGCAACCCTTTAGAGATCGGAATAGGTGTTATTTGATGAACTGAATTGAAAAGAAGCTAGCAGAAAAGAACCGTATATAAGAATTCTGTATGAGAGGAAAACTCAAAACGAGGTTTTAGGATTGACTTGATTTGACTCCACTTGCGTGGAAATTGTACCAAACAGTACAATGATCGGAAGAAGTTTTAAGAATGCGGAGTTCTTTTGGAATTTTTTGAAGGAATGTATTTGGAGTATAGTAGTTTTTTTGCAATTATATTGCTCGCTTCTGCACAACGGTTTCAGCAACCAACTTCAAGCCGTAATGCGTCAAATATAGAGAAATTTAGGTCAGCGATTAATGTCATTGTGGTATGTCTCATACAAAACCTTAGGATTCTGATGATTTTTGACAGTTCTTTGAAGCAAGACGGGTCAGTTTTGGCATAATTGTTGTTGTTGGAGTGTCAAAACATGTCTACAGTAACTTCGTGGAATGTAGCCGAGTGATAGTTCTTGGTACGATAAAAATTCGGTTCCCATCCGGTTACTTAGACCCGATTGTTGTGGGAACGGAGTTTATTTGGCATGGTTGTTAGTTCCAATAAAAAATAAAGTGATCTTATAGCGTCATGTGTCAAGTCATAAAAGTATATGACTTATACATTCTACCTCAAAACGTTTGTCATCACGCTATTTAATACTAAAAAATATTTCTTTAATCCCGCATCCCTTTTTGTAATGCTTCGACATCCTTCGTGTTTTTCCCAAGTTTCCGGCTTTTGTACATCGTATAATATTTATCATTACTTTTATAATATTTTTAAAATTTTATGTTTATGATTTGTACAAAAATGTACAGTACAACCACACCAAACAAGTACATTTGTGTATCCCTTAAGTAAGTCGTTTTTTAACCCACACCAAATAGGCTATCCCTCTCTCAACGTCCGTCTCGAACGGCTCATTTATTTAGCTGAAGCCCTTCTTCTCGTTCGTGAGTGCTTATAAAGTAACTTGATTTAATTAACAGTAAAAAAAATTCTGCACAAGTAAGTACTTGTGTTTGTGCAACGAGCTTTCAATATAATTGTAAAAATACTTTTAAGGTCAATAAACATGAAAAGGAGACTCAAGAAAAATGAAAAAATTATCGCGATAAAAGCTTAGGCAATAACGTTTAAAAACTTATCGCTTGAGAGAGAGAGTAAGAGAGCGAAGCTGCGAGTTTGTTTGTCTACGGTGTGAAGTGTAAGGGGTATAATTAATATGTTTGCATTTTTTTGGGTTGAAGGATTTTAATTAGAGGCTAACGGGTGCTGTTGGAAAGTTTTAAAATAACAGCGCATTTGCATAGAATTTACAGTTGATAGGCATATTGATATGCCGAAAACTTTTTAACAGAAAAAAGGTTATTTATCGCAATTTTATTATGAAAATATAGATGATTGTTATGAAATCAATTAAGGTATATATTTTTTTTTTTTTATAATTTTGAAAACAAAAATGGTTTTTATCGACACTTTCGAGTTTCTGTTTTCTGGTTATTAGTAGACGAAGAAAAGTTCTGCGGTAACCGGAAAGGTTTTCATTAAGTAAATGCGGTCAATGCATACAAAAAGATGTTGCCATTATAATAAATGTATCACTAAATGATTTTATAAAAAGTGTAAGTTTCGCTTAACAAATCATATTGTAAAGCATAAGTCCCTAAACTCTGTTATAAAAGCCATTATTCATCTAACTCATAACCGTCTCTTAGCGATCGCCATACGTATAATATTGATTAGGTAGAGTGGGCAACCAGCAATCGGTGAGTCGGCGTCTTCTAGAAAAATGTGAGCGAAGATCTAAAATTATACTTCTTCTTTGACTAAGTTTTGTATAAGGAAGGCAGGGATTTGAATGTTTATAGTTTTTTGTTATCAATTGTAATTTAGCCTGAACCACATATTATTTTATTGTGAGGTTAAATGCAGATTTATTGTCGCAGCTGCACCCCTCACCAAAGTCTTGCAAATATTATATCCTAGAAAATGAAGATTGGTGATAGTTTGTAGCTGGACATAAATCCGAGTTCTTCACAGTGAAAAGAGAAATAAACCCCAGTATAAGCTGGATCCGTTATATTCCAGGTTAAGGTGCTACATGGGTTTACGGGTTTAAAAAAATCGATTTTTTTTTATTATTTTACTAAACTCTACAACACCTCCAGCATATTGTTTTACATTCAAATTGATCAGAGTAAAAGTTTCGGAGATACAGCCATGAGAACTTGCGCGCTCAAGGCTAGCTACACTCGGTTGTCAAGATTTAACAAGACATTTTTTCCCCGATAGCAACTAATTGACAAAAAAAGTCATGAAATTTTTTTTTTGTAACAATGTTTGCCAAAACTACAATTTTCAGCCTTTTTTCTGCATGTTCTAAGTTAAGTTCAAACCCATTGTAACCCCTTAAAAAGCTTTTAATGTTGGAAATTTGATATTGAACAATTTGAGGTGATTTTCTTCGTAAAATATTGTTTGCTGGTTATAATTAGTTCGATAAATCAGACATTTCTTGGCAAGCGAAGACATGTGTAATTTAATTTAATTTAATTTTTTAAATTAGTGATAAGGAAACAGTAAAACTCAGACATACTTTGTCTAACGAAATAGTTTTAACTGGAATCAATGAGTGTTAACAGCTTAAAATACTGTCAGATGGAAAGAGGCACAGAAAATTTTATCAATCGGTGTGAAGAAGAAAATGAAAAAGGATCGAATCACAAGCGCTCAGAATATACATGTTATACTTATGACCTGGAAGAAACAAATGTTCGCTCCGTTGTATACACTGTGAAACATCGTGTAATATGTAATTGGCCAGAACCTCAAATCTATGGCAAGGGAGTGCCGTTCTATGCATCTTCGGTCAATTACTTAATTCGTTGTCTATAGTACATTAAATATTACGTGCTCCAAATCTTAACCTGCATATAATTGGATGAAGGAATGAGTTATAAGTATACTCTTGTCCATTCTAAATAATATCATTGAGCAATTTCAGCCTTAATATACAGCGTAGAGATTCCAAAAGCCTTGATTTGTTCATCGAGAGAGGATTTGTCTGCTAAAACAATATAGTAGACGAAAACCATATATGATTCAGCGGTTCTATGAGTGTGCGAGAAAAAAATTGAGTAAAAGAGGAAAGGGTTTCTATGTGTTGATGTCAGTGAAGATCAATAAGGTGACTTTTTGAGAGACATGCGGTGGACTATTCAGCTCTGCAAGGAATTTACTGTACTATCAGCTGGAGGTCGCATAAGAATTTGTTGAAAGTATGGCAAAATTGAAAAGTCAATGAAGTTTACGAAATTTGTAATGTACAAAAGGAAACGTCAGAGGCCTTATAAAGTATATATGTATATAGTTAGTAGCGGTGTTAGATAGCATATATATATATATAGTCAGTAGCGGTATTAGGGTAGGGCGCGGTTGGGCGACCGCCCAGGCGCCGCAGGCGCCCCCCAACTCATTCTCATAGTTCGAGGTCTGCTTAGTCGTAAATTCCCTAAATTAAGCGGATTTTTTTTATGTTAGAAACACTTGAATGGAACGCGCTATTCAATCTGTTCAATCGGGGTTCATTTTACGGGAAATCCCCAATCATAGAAAACACATTGTCTATCTCCTTTTAACTTTTTGGTTAAAAAGAGTTAGCGTTATTTTAGCGAAGCGTAACAAACTCAGCATCATGGATGGTTCTAATTCATATAATCGGTGCACATACCAAACAATTATTTTAAAACAAACAGACGCGAAGTAGTAACCAGACAGATTGCAGGGGTCGGGGTTATGACAACGGGGCTAATATGTATGAAAGGAAAAAATATTGGGGTTCAAAGGAGAATTCTCGACATAAACCACTTAGCTGTTTATGTGCCGTGTGGCTGTCATGGGTACTTCAGAGGTTGTTCACATTGTTTTCAGCTTCTGTTCATCGATGGAAAATTCTAACCGATCACTTGGGACTATATACTATAAAAAAGCTCAGTGACACACGTTGGGAAGCAAGAATAAGTAGTGTTAAAGCAGTCCGTTATCAAATTAGTACTATTCATGATGCTTTGATTACTTTGGCTCTTGAAACTCAGAAAACTGATGTTCAAGTGTCTCATTAGGCTACTCTTCTGGCTAAAGGATTTCAGCTTCATAGCTTCATTGGTTGTTTGGTATGACATACTTTATCGAATAAATATTGTGAGTAAACCTCTACAGTCAACAGATATGGATCTTGGTAAATGTACAGAAATGTTGAAAAAATGCTGCAATTTCTTGGAAGACTACAGAAATACAGGCTTTAAAAGCGCTATTTTAACTGCGAAGGAGTTGGCCGAAGAACTAGAAATTGAACCTCTATTTCGAGCTACAACAAGAATTCGACGTGTAAGGCGTTAGCTAGTGAAATTGCACGCGATGACCCTATAACTTCTCCAGAAAAGAAATTTGAGGTTGAATTTTTCAACTGTCTTTTGGACACTAGATTAATCTCAGTCAATGAAAGGTACGAACAGTTAAATGAGTACTCGGAATCTTGTTTTTTTTTTTTGTACAATATTAAACAGATTCCAAAAAAAAAAAACCGACCTTGTCAAGCTCTGTAGTGATCTCCAATAAAAATTAACTGTAGACTCTAAATCAGACATAGATGGTTGTATGTTGTGTGATGAACTTGTAAGTCTGATATCCTTTTTGCCTGATCAAAATGTGGTTACTCCCATTTTTGTTTTAAATTTCATCAAAGATTGCAACTTACAAGAACTGTATCCAAATGTATGGATAAGCATTGCAAATATTATTAGCAATACCAACTTAGCAATTTTGTCAATTGAAATCGAAATTGCTGAAAACAACGACTTTGACAACCTTATAAAAGAGTTCGCTAATAGAAAGGCCAGAAAAGTTAAATTTTATTAGTGTTTTGTAATAAATGTATAAATAATTATTTCTTTTAATAAACGGTTATTTCATTAAATGTTTTCCCTTTTTTCGAATGGGTTTGAATTGCAGTTGGAGGACGCCGTAGAAATCTCCCCCAGGGCGCTGATAGTGTTAAAACCGGCACAAGATATATAGTACATATGTACATAAGTGTTCGGCAAGACGATCTGAGTCGATTTAACTATGGCCGTCTGTTTGTATAAGTGCGAAATAGTCTCTCAGTTTTTCTGATGTCGCACTGAAATCTTACACACGTCCTTTGCTATCCCAGAAGTTGCTTATTTGTAATAATTTCCGATATTGGACCACTATAGCAAATCGCTATCAAACAAACTGATCGATCAAATGCATGTCTTTGTAGAGAAAACAATTTTTTAGTTCACAAAATATCTTCTCGAAATTTGGCATGGATTGTAATCCAAGACAGAATCTCCGATCTCGGATCGGGATATTTTGTATTTATGAAGATTATTACAGCTTCGGTGGAACTGAACGTTTTGCTTGTTTTTTTTTTTAAACTTACGAAGCATAGTGTTGGTTGTAGACTCTCTGAGAACTAATTAGTTTGTTACAGGACCAATCGTGGAATAGGATATGTCTAAAAACGCGTAAAGAAGTTATCTTATTGTCAGTATTACAACTTCATGCATTTACTACAAGCTTTTGAAACAGGAATTTTCCCAAAATTTTTGGACATATTTCATGTGTCTGTATCCCCAATTATTGCGGTTGCAATTCCGCAACCATTTATTTACTTCGCATACACACGCGCTGTCTCGTCGCCAGCCAAATGAAGTTGTGCATGATCTAGGATTTGTTGGTTGAAAGGATATTTAAATAATTCCCAGCTTGTGCCGAGCACGTGTGTCTATTATATGCATGTGTGTGTGAGCACAGCTGATGCGGCTGCCAGTACACAACTCATACTTATACCCAAGTAACGGTATTGTAATTGTAAACGAATCGTTTCTACATACATCCCACTGTCTCCTTTGCGCTTGTAGCTTTTTATTTTGCTTGTGTGTGTGTGTGTGTGTTTGTGTGTGTGTGCATGTGCAAAATGAAAAGCATCCACTGAGGTCACATTCTCACGTCCACTATCAAATTTTAGCCAGCGTGAATTTATATGTGTACATGTGTGTGTGTGTGCGTGCGTATGTATCTGTTCACATGCAACTCAATTGCGCCGGCAGTGTGTTAAGGGGTAAAGTAAATGCTTTTGCCGCATTTGTTTTGACTGGGTTAATGGGTAAATAAATACTAGCAGCATGCGCCTAAAAGTCGGTCATATGTGTTTGACCTACCATTTATATGTGCGTATGTCTATGTGAGTTTGTGTGTGTGTAATGTGAGCGCATACTGTAATGGCACGTTGATAGGTTGGCGTTGTTTATTTATTATTTTTACGCAAATGGAGCGCTTAATGGAATGTAAACACGGAGCAGCAAGTGGATGAGCTTAAAGACTTAAATATTTTTATTAAATATTATTTTATTTTGTTTTGGTTTGATTGCCTGTTAAGTCTTCAGTCTTTGTATGCAAATATTTGCAAATATATTAACGGAAAACATATTAGAAACACTCGAAAAATTGCTTGAAATGTTTTTGGGAAAATAACTTACACAGAGTGTAAACGCTTTCTTAACAAACAGAGTGTTAGTTGCCCCCTAAGGGATTCACTGTTATGGAGGTAGGGATAAAAAATAAGCTTCACTAAAAGGAGATCCATTATCTTTAAAATAAATTGAAGTTCTTATTTAGGTTTGTTAGAATTATACGAATTTGGTAAAAAATGTATATTTTTTATTCGTAAACTTGCTATAATTTTGAGGGTAATTTCACTTTCATATAAACTTTTGTCTTCTCTTAAGGAAAATTTTTCACCAGCAAAATCATTCGCCATAGACTAGAACAGATAGTAATCACTTGCTGCCTGGCCTGGACTATAACGTAGACTCATAAAAAATTTCTCGACCAAGTTCTCAAGCTTCTGGCTGGTCCCTATCGATACGTGTGGTGTGGCATTCGAACACAATATCTGTACAATTGGTCAAAGCTGGCCACTTCTGGACGATTGTTTCCTTCTTATGGTTCAATTTTTGACATTACCGGTCCGGATTAAGAGTTTGGCCGTGGAGAAGCAGCTCATAGTAGAGTTGATTCAATGTCAACCCAACTCCACCAAATGCACAACAAAATCTTCCTGACTATCAATTCTGTCTTGTCTACGTTTTGACCCTTTATCTTGACGTTGTCGTATGTGAAACAAAAAATTTGGAACGAATTAATTTTCAGCGTGATTGGTCATTTGCCAAGTGGGGACTATAAGTTGTATAAGTTGATAACCTTCCGCACAAGCTCTTGGAGTTTCTGACGAGTTCCTAAAGATGTGTGTAGGCTTGCATTATCCTGATGTAACGCAATGCCTCGTCTATTCGTCAAAACAGACCACTTTTGAGGGATTGTTTTCTTCCAAATTAATAGTTTGATGATTTTTGGCCTATATGCTGGTACATAAAAACAATCTAAACAAGATCCTGGCGCCTCTGCCGAGTCTCTAATGGTGTGTATGGTTTGTCTTTGCCTTGATGGAACAAAATTCCTCGTCTAATGGCCAAAACTGACTACCTCTACGCGATTGCTTTCTTCACTCGGTTCGAATTAAGAGTTTGACAGCAAGATAGCAGCTCATAGTCATTGATTCCCTGTTAACCTCACCAAAAATGTAGCGTCAATCTTGGATTGGTCACAACTACGAAAAATAGATGATAACCAGCAATACTTGGATGTATATATCTATTATAATGTTTTTTATACCTTCGGTTGACTACGTTCCATGAATGGTATATCAGTCAATATGAGAGATATTTTAATAAAATTTATCGATAATATTACTCTTAAGTAAAGTTATACTAGTGAAACAATGTATGACCTTGGTTCATCTTGCTAAGATCATATATTTCTCTGATAGGTTTTTGTTTTCTTTATGAACTCAGTATGTCCCTTGAGACATCTCACTTAACTCATGTAAGGATGCCTATATTTATCTAATCTTCTTAAGTCCTCTCCTTTCCGATCTGGATGGTAGGGCTTCAAAATGCAACTAAGGTAAAATTTATAGAAGAAGTCGGACATTAACCGGCAGTCAATACTAAACTTCCGAAAATATAGTCGACTTCAGAGGTCAAAGAATTGGTTTAAGAAAATCAGCCAAGATGGGGCTATTATTAAGATACTTTTTTAAATGCGATCTTAAAGGTAGTATTTTATTAAAAGCCCTCACTCACTCACCTGTTTTCTCCTCTGTTGGTGTTGTGTTTGCTGCCGTTCCCAGTCTCGACGATAAATTATGCAATTCGATTTTCTTGGTCTTCGCCAGGTTACCGAAGAGATCTGCACCGCCCACAGAGCCCACGGCAGCATTATCTTGTGGCGTCACTGTGGCAGCGCTGCCACTACTGCCGCTACTACTCAGCACTTGTGCCAATTTCTTACCCAGCTGCAACGCCATCTGCTCATCCGGACTGTCCGACTCGAGCTCGGGACTCGTATCGGGCACTAATTCCAAGTATGTCGTTTGTGAGACGGACAAATGTGCTACCTTATCGGCGCGATGTCGACGCTGTAGCTCGTGCACAGCACGTGCTGTGGTCGGTGAGAGTATACCCGAAGTATCGGCCGATGTTATGCTGATCTCGCTGATCGGTCGGTCTTTGATAAGCGTTGGCAAATCGTTGAGGCCACGCGCTGCCAAACGATTGTATGTGCGTAAGTGTGTACGTTTGTCCAATTCATTTGCTGCCGTCTCTGCACTGTGTTGTTGTTGTTGTTCGCCAATGCTACGCGGTGATATGGGGTCTGTAAAGAGTGAATCAGAACTTGTTGACAATTCCTTAAGTAGAACAATATCATAGTTATTGTGTTGTTGTTGTTGCTGTTGCAGTAGTTGTGGCTGTTGCCGTGCACTATGGCAACCGGAGGAGATGAGCATGTTGTTGTACTCATCATAGACTTCCCCTTCATCGAGCGCGTCTGCAGCGTTGGCAAAGCGATTTTGAGTGGAAAATTGTGCCGCAGCAGCGAAAGTGCAGCAAAAGGTGTGGAAGAATAATCAAAAGTTAGAGAAAAGTAGTGCTTTTCATTTTACTTTACTTTATGTTAAGTATCTTAATATACTGAAGTAAGGTAAAGGTGATAAGGAGGTGAAATGTTGCGGAATTCCTGTTGTTGGGGAAATGGTAGTTTCCGATTTTGTAGTGAGCGAGTGTTCATATATTTTTTTCTAATAAAAATTTTGTCTCTAAAAACACTACAAATTAGAGGTCAGCAGTTTGAGCGAAATGATTTCTATGTGATATAACACATGATTAAGTTAATGAGTCTAATTTTCCTCTAAATTCTATGAGTGAAGGTTAGATGTATGTAAGATATTAAAACTGAATGATATAAAATATAAGATTTGTTCAATGATTATCGCTCTCTGAGACTAGTTATTAAACGATAATAATTTCATTGCGTCCTTTATATTTCTGACCAAAAAAATACTCTTAAATTCCCCTCAGAGTTTCTTCTCAATAAATAAAGCATTTCATCACGTTGTTTTCTTCAGGCTGTGCTATGAAGAATACCAATGAAAAACTTTGTTTAGCAAGTTGACGAATTTCAGTCCCTCCCTGAACATGGTAAACTTCTTAAAACTAGCGCTTGCAAAGCGTATTACTTATTATGTTCAATTCGTATAATTTAAAAAAAAAGAGAGACAAAAAAAGTCTTGGAAAAGATTTTAAAACATTTGTCATAACACGATCTTAAAGAAGCGCCAATTTTTCTTCTGGACCATGTTTACAAATCGTTCAACTTTGTTATGAAAATTCGTGTTCTGTAAGGAATGTGCTTCTATGTTATGGCCTACTGAGCGTACGATTCGTAACACCATCACCCATCTTGAGACCCAACATTCACTTTTGGACAATGTTAGACCGAACAGATCACGTCATAGCAGTCGTAGCTGAGAGTGTACACAAAGACCGTGTGGAGTCGATTTGGCGCCCTTGGCAGTATCTCGGACTGACGTATGGAACGACTTGGCGCATTTTACGCCGAGATCTTAAATTGAAAGAGAAAATATAACTTGTGCAAGAACTGAAGCCGGCCGACTTTACCAAGTGACATTCTTTCGCTCTATGGGTTCTTTAAAAGTTCCAAGAAGATCCAACGTTTTTGAGCCAAATGATCAGCAATGAAGCCCATTTCTGGCTCAAAGGGTATGTAAATAAGCAAAATTGGCGAATTTGGGACGAAAGGAAATCTGACGAGATTCAAGAGCTGCCATTTCATTCAGAAAAAACAACGATTTGGTATGGTTTGTGTGCCGGTGGAATCATCGGTATTATTTCTTCAAAATGATGCCGGTGTGAATGGCGTGTCAATGGCGACAGCTGATAAGCCATGATAACCGACTATTTGATGCCTGAAATTGAAGCTTGTGATTTCGACGACATTGGTTTTAACAAGGACGCCGAGACATCGCATCAATCAATAGATTAATTGAAGGAATACTTCGGTGAGCAGATATTTTCACGTTTTTGGCTTGCCGATTTCTTCACGGGCAATCCCGCTTCGATTCAGATCTTGACGCTAAACATCACGCGTGTCATTGGAGAGTTACCAATCGAAATCCTTGAACGAGTCTTTGATATTATGACAAAAAACATTCCCCATTAAATTTGAAATTTTTATGTTTTTCCTTGAAAAACTAGGAAGTCTCGAAATGGATCAACCTTATTATTATTTTACTGATAAAATATCGTGGAAAGTAGACTTAATTAATGTTATATCTAAACACTTTGAGACCTAGTTATAGAATCGACAAAAACTGTTCTTTTCAGTTTTCATTTTATAGTCTTCATAATTCGGTGAGGTGTTTTTCTGAGCTTTGTCTTCAAGCCAATAACTCTGTTGTGCTTCTCCATATTTATTTTTTGCTGGTTGTTGGACTCTTTCGAATTTTGTTGAAGAGAGGGCAAAGTTACATATTGGGCCGTTCACTAAGTAATTTCGTGTAATTTAAATATCCTCTGTATTGATTAAACGTCTTTTGCCATTTTAAGGCCAAAAAAATGTTGATCGTTGCGGAAAAAACTGATCTAAAAAACTTTGCAGAGACTGAAAAAATGTCTCGCATTATCCTGTTGAAATACTAGAACTTTTCTATGAATCAATCTGACCTCTTCTTTTTGAGTCACAATTGGCCAGTGTCGGACAAAAGCTCAAAATAAGCGATCCCTTTTAAGTCCCGCTAAACAAACAACATAATCGTTTTTTGGTTACTATAGACTTTCGTAGTGGTTTGAGCTGATGCAACCTTCATGATTTCTTATGCTTTATATTCTTTATAACAACAAACTTTTCGTCTTAAGTAACACTGCGCTTCAATAATATATTTTTACCCTTTTTATAGTAAAACAATAAAATTGCAGAAAGTGCTGTTATATTTCTTCAATTTTTGATAGGGAACTAAACAAAGACTATTCTAAAAAATTGAAGAAAAGCGGGAGAGCGGTTAAGTTTGAAGTTGGCTCCGAAAAAATTCAAAAAGATCAGCAGTTGACATTAAACGAAGTTACTTAGTGATCGAACCAATGCTTTTATGGGTTGCCATTTCTCGTTGAGCTTTTTCTTCTTGTCATGAAAACATAATTAAATAAATTTTGGAGAGTTGCACCATTTTTTTTTTTAAATGGTGAAAAGGGAGCGCTCGGTTGAGACATTTAAGTCATTGATTCACTATATCTCTACTCGCTAAGTTTGAGCTCTCCTTTCTTTCAAAAAATGTGCAAATGGAAGAGAAAACAGTTCAATTTAACCCAAGAGAGTAGCTATATTAAGTTGTATAAACGATTTATAAGTTATGTTTATGCGTCTGTACCAGTTTACTACTTTTATACAAGCTTAATTTATTTATACCAATTTATGATCGATTCGTCTCTTTTCACATTAGTGAAACGAATTAATATTTTTATTTGTACCACAAGTACGTTGTCTATTTCTAGTTTATACCAGTTTCTTGTTCGATTTGCCTCTCTGCAACTACTCGTCAATTGATGACAGTTTATTAAAAAATTCTAATATTATGCAGTTATTGCTGCCAAAGAGTTTGGCTAACTGTTAATTTATGACATACATATGTTAGAGTAACTTTTCAAAAATTTGCTCTTGTACGAATTTCCGCCAGATGGGTAAAAGCGTCAAGCTTCTTTTTCAATGGATATTTAACTGCTTGAGAATTCCGATTGTGTGCCTTTTTTCATCAAACGAAAACTGCTTGCACAATAAGTTTAATTTTTAGTAAATAATGATGCCTATCAGCTATTTATAACTATTATGTGTTCACCCATCACACGCAGGAGTCCATGTCTGTTCCACAAAAAAAAAAAATTCAATACAAATTGTTCGAATACTTGTGCGTATACAATCAATCTTACTGCACAACATATGTGCTTGGAATAAACAATTAAAGCAAAAGATTTATGACATCAAAATTTTAATATGCGGCAAATTTGTGAAAACCCTTTTTCTTCAAGCTGAAATATGCCACACATCACTTATACATATGAGCGCATTTTTTTTATTGGCGACCCACACATGACAAATAAAGACTTTCAGCGCCAGACGCAAAAGTGACAACGCCAGCGTAAACAAAAGTCAGTTGCCAGAAGTTGTTGGGGAAGAAAGAATGCAAAAAACAAACTTCCAGCGCTTAAGAGAACCACAGCGCACATTTACATAGCACGAATAAGAGGTAAAAAACAACCAAAATATAGCGACTGGAAGGTAGAGTAGGCAGAGACAGAGAGAAGAGCCACAGTAGAGCTGTCAAGCAGGGTGAAAAATAGCCGGTTACTAGAAATGAGCTAGCTAGTAGAAAGTATAGTGTCTTTACAAACTAGAAAGCAAAACAAAAAAATCGCAAAAAAGCCATTTAGAGAAAAAAAGTAGCAAGAAGTAAGACATTCAAAAATGACCGGAAACGTGCTAAGGTCGCTAGCTGACAGTCAAAGGTCATGTGTGGTATTAGAAAGGTATTTGGAATACTCATAAATACAGTTATGCATAAATAGCTGTACATACGAACATTTATGTATGTTATATATTAGCCCGCTTTCGATCCACAAATAATCTGTGCCGTAAAAACTGCGCTGCTGTCGCGCTTTGCTAGTTTAAGGGACGCGTTGGAGCATCACATACACATACTTTTCCATACAGTTCATACATATGCATATATATTTGTTTGCATGTGTTTAACAATTTGCTTGTAATGCCGTTGGCTGATTGCTATTAGTGGTTACTCGCTTGGAACTGGTATTCATAACACCGGAGTCGCTGAACTGCGGAGGCGGTTGCGTGCAACATGACATGGCTGTAGAATGACCAAAACGTTATATCTAAGTGGCAGCTAAATATTTAGACGAGTTTGTGTACACACGCAGTGGGCAACATACAGCATAGTGAGAGAAGCTCACAAAACAAGAAAAAATAAACAAAAGTTGTGTACAACAGTGTTGGTGTTGTTGTTGATGCGCTGCGGTTGGTTGAAGGGGCATTTTTTGTTTTTTTCAATGTTGGATAAGCCTAAATATTTATAAATATTTTTAGCTGAATTTGCTTATAACATTTTTTAGATTAATAAGAATTTTGGAAATTTGGGCTTATTTAAACCTCTAGAATGTGTACCGAAAAATATTAATTTCAATGAAATGAGGATCTGATGATCTATCTTTTAGGAGTTTTTGTGCGACACAAACACTTTCTGTCCAAGTGATATTCATTGACTTTGGATTAAAGCACGAATATCTCTGCAAGTTTTGAGCCACATTTTGTTCAGAACTGAGACCCATTTCTGGCTTAATGGGTATGTATGCAAGCAAAATTGCCACATTGGGGACAAAGAGTAACCTGAAGAGATTCAAGAGCTGCCATTTCGTCCAGAAAAAAACAAGGTTTTGGTGTGATTTGTGGGCCGGTGGGATCTTCGGTCTATATTTTTTCAAAAATGTCGTCAATGACGGTCGACGTTAACGCGCCGTAATAACCGCCTATTCCCTGTGGTGATATGTAATGTCTAAAGTCTATACGGACAATACCGTTTCGATTCAGGCCTTTGAGGAAAACATCACGAATGTCATTCGCCAGTTACTAGTCGAAATGCTCGAACGAGTTATCGAAAATTGGACTCAACGGATGGAACATGTGAACCATAGCCACGGCCAATATTTGAAAGATATAATCTTCAAAAAATAAATGCCAAAGGATATTCATCAATTTAAATTGGCCTGATTATCAGTTTCGAGACACTGCTCGACTGGACACTGTTTGGATAAACGTAAAATTAAGTTCTTCGAGATAGCAGGCACTCTAAAGTTGACAACTGATCGAATACATCACGTCATACACAAATATTTGGGTATGCTAAAGCTCTGTGCAAAGTGTGTGCTCCGCGAGCTCACTCTTGACCAAAAACAACGACGAGTTGATGATTCGGTACAGTGTTCGGAGATGCTAAAGTATAATAAACAATAGTTTTTGCATTCATATGTGGGAACGAATGAAACTTGGCTTCATTATTTCACTCCGAAGCCGACACAGTCATCCGAGTGGACTGAACGCGATTAGGCCGCTCCAAAGCATGGCAAAACACAATAGTGGGATAGCAAGGTTATGACGTCTGCATTTTGAAATGCCCTTAATATAATTAATATTGACTAAATTGAAAAAGAAAGCACCACCAACAGCGACTATTATATAGTGTCGTTCCCACGATAGTCGTCTCTACGTAAACGGAACGAACACGGATTTTTATCCGGCCACGGACTCGGCAGTATTCTGCTGCTACGACAACAGCAGCGACTATTATATAGCGACATTGGACCATTTGACGGATGTAATCGACCGCATTTAAAAAACAAAAGAAAGCGCTGTTTCACCAAGAAAATGCACCTTGTCACAAGTCAGTGAAAACATTGGCAAAAATCCATGTATTCAGCTTTGAATTGCTTACGCATCCACGGTATTCTCTAGATCTGACCTTCAGCGACAATTTCCTGTCCTCAGAATTCAAAAGAATGATCGGTGGGAAAAATTTTCGTCCAATGAAGAGATGATCGCCCATATTGTGGCCTATCCTTAAGCAAAGAACAAATAGTACTACAAATATGGTACCGAAAATTTGGACGTCGCTATAATCAGATCGTTATATACAAGTGAATAGATTAGTAGACTCTAACATATAGCTTCTCGATAGGGTCTATGTAAGGAAAAAAATTTGGATTCCTGTCAAATAATCGAAATTCGACGGTATTAATCAAAATTAGTTGACTATAACAACTAAACCATCGAATCCAATAAGACCGCTTTCCAACAACTATATATTGAATCGCAATATGACGACATTATAATCCCTCCAATTAGTATAATATAAAGCTTCTGAACATCGTAGAACTCAGAGAAGACGCTTATTTTATTTTAGGATTTATTTTCACAGCTTTTATAGTATTGTTTTATTATTTATTATTATTATCATTATATTAATATTTATTCATATTATTTCTAATTAAATCACTTTATTATTTTGACTGTTATGATGCCATAATTCGTTTTCAATTTTTGTTCCATATTTTTGATTTTCGTTCTGCATTTATGCATTTTTTCGAGAGCGAAGGTTATGAAATCACATGAAATTTTGTATGCAATATGTTTATATATGTAACTTTATATGTGGGTATGTGTGTATATTACATGTTCACTACCTCTTACACTACTTTAGCAACAACTAAGTTAATTTTTTTTTCGCTAAGCACGCAAAACTATTTTCTTTGATGTTTTCATGCACTTATTTTTGTCTTGAACTCTTTCATTTCATCACTACCATAATTTGAACCTTTTCGGTTGCCCACCTGTGGCTTCTTTGCGTGTAATTGCACTTTCTGCTCCCACCGTCTGCTCGTTTACACTTTCGGCTGCCTCTTGTGCTTTCGTTCGCTGCTCGCCACGATATTGAACTTCAACACGTTTTATGGCATTCGCCGTTTTCCACGATTCTGTTTGTACGACCAACTTGCGGACGCACAATTTCTTCGCATTCTTTACACGTTTAGCGTCGGTTTCGGATTTTTCCAATTTTTCACTATCAACACACTGATCCACTGAGGCATTAATTTCACCTTTAGCTCGTTGCCTCTGATATGTGTACCGCTGTGGCTGGTTTAGACCACAATCGGCAGCAACAATTACATTAATCGATTGCGCCGCGTCGCTGTCTTTGTCACTGTCAACAATGAGACTTTTTGACGTTTCAACAAGTTTCACGTAAGTCGCCGAACCGTCGCCTGTGAAATGTAAAGCATTACTGAAGTCACACTGGAAATTAGTTTGTGTGAATTGTAGATTGGCAGTTGTAGAACACGCTTTGAGGCTCCAATTGGAGCTGTGCCTGCATTGTTGCTGCTGCTACCGCTGTAAAGCGCAGAAAAAGCCCAACAATGGGCATTGAAAGCAACAGCGGTAAAAAAGAGCAGCAGCGGCGGCGTTGCGTTATTGACTGTTCCGGCGCTTTTGTTGGAGCGCCGTCAGTGTTGTTCATTCTGTAATTTTTCGCACTGCTTGGTAGAGTTTAAATATGTGTATATAATATGTGCGGTATGTAATGAGCGGCTTTGTGGTTTGGTGACTTTTAAGGTGTGCTACATGTCGTTATATTAAACATTCATTTATAGTTGCGTGCCGTAGTTGTAAAACGGAAATAAAATATACACATGTGCGCAGTATGAAGGTCCGTCGGGGTCTAACTTAATCAAATTAATAAGGTCATGTCATTAACGTGTGAAATTTACGGGTAGTCAGTGGTCTTTGCCAATGTTTTAAGGTATTTATGATCACAAAGTGCAAGGTCAATTGAAATGTCTCCGACCTGACACATAGATGGTGCTACTAGAATGAAATCCATATGATATTTAGTTAGCTCTGACCTTCGAAAGGCGTGTGTATAGTATAGTTTGTGAATTATATCCTTTTGAGGGAATGAACTTTTGTTATTGTGAAAAAATGGAAAAAGAGGAATTTCGAGAGTTGATAACATATAGTTTTTTGAAGAAAGATATACAATGGAATAAAAGAACTTGGCTTGATGATGAGTTCCGAACACTCCCACAGGAAAATCAACCATCATCATCAAAGATTCGCATGTTAAATGAGCACCGAAAACAGTGAACTCAGTGGACACCCAATATAGGTTGGCACCGAAGAAAACATCAGAAAAGTCCACGAAATAATTTTGAAATACGGTAAAGTGAAGATCTTCGAGATGGCAGCCACTTTAAAGATATCAACTGTACATCTTATCGTTCTCGAATATTTGGGTATGAGAAATAATGTGAAAGTGGGGGAACTCATTTATGACTAAAATAAACTACAAGTTAATGATTCGGAGTAGTGTTTGGAGATGTTGAAGTTGAATAAACCTTTTTTGCATTGATGTGTGAGAACGGTTGAAAAATGGCTCCATAATTTAGTTCCAAACTTCATAATTTAATTCCAAGGACGACTGTCAAGTCCAACTAGACTGGCCATGGTAACGGCAGCTTTATTTTGAGATACGCATAGAATAGCTCTTATTGAATACCTTGAAAAGGATGGGACCTTCAACAGCGACTATTACGTGGTGTTATTGGACCGTTTGAAGGACAGAATCGCCGGAAATCGGCCGCATTTAAAGAGTAAGAAAGTGCTGTTTCACCAACACAATGAACCGTCCCACAAGTCAGTGAAAGAAAAAATTCATACATAAATAAAGCAAAGGACAAATCGCAATAAAATGTGGTATTGAAAAGCTGGAGGGTCGCTATAATATGTGTATCAGCCCCAAAGGGAACTATGTTGAATAAAAAATAACTAATTTTGCTAAAAAGAAAACGTGGCACTTTTTTATTAACCTGTTATTCTCTTTATAGGGCTTCTGATATTTTCTTTTGGAATATAAAAAAATACGAAATCAGTTTCACTTTTAGTGTTTAAACTAATTTCATGGTTAAACTATACTTCTTTATTTCGAAATTGGTCCAGTATTTAGTGAAAAATATTAAAATATTACATAGTTATTAAGAGTTTAGATCCACTTGAGCCTCTTCTAATAAATAATTCTCAGCTATTCGTCATTTCCCTTTGAAGTATTTCGGAAGCTTTATTACGATCTCTACGGTTGTTGTGTTCATGACTGGGAGAGAATTTTAAATACTGGAGAGACAATAATCATAGGAATGAGTAAGTTTTATATCTAAAAAAACGGAAAAATCATTGAAAACAATTGTTGCCATCATCAATCATCAAAATCAAGAAATAACGAAGCATATGAAAGGGCCTAATAGAATGTGAAGCGCTTGAGATATGATAATTGCTGAGTACCAAATGCATACAATTCTACAAAACTCTACACTCGCACATAAGCTCAACACTGACAACGCGCGCGCTCTCAACCAAGCTTCTCTTTTATAGTTATCTGGCGAGTACTTAAGTATCACGCTCAACAGAACAACCGGCTTGCTTGTACCACTACACCTCTCCGTCACATTCAATGCATGTTTCATTATAGCCCACGTTTCGTAGCGGCTTGTGTTTGTACTCTACCATTTTGCTTTGCGTTGACATTCCAATCGGTGGTCGCGTTGTTGTTTATTGTCGGTGTCATTGGTAGCGCTTGGAAATCTTCCAGCGACGCGGTGGAATGAACTGCTGTTGCTTCCATTCGGCCAGCTTCCAAGGCATGTTTTCGTGTTTGTTTTGCTTGTCTGCTTCTAGCATTCGTTGTCTCATGCGTTATAACAGCAGCGTTGTTCACGTTGTAGCCGTCATCATCATCATCGTAGTCCAACGATTCACGCTCTTCGTCCGTTGCCTCAGCGGCGTCGATGTATATTGTGCCGCCAATGGCTTCGCTGCCGCTGTTACTGTTGGCCGCTGCGAAGAGATGCTCAATGAACTCACGGTGATCTTCGTGCTCTCGCTTTGATGATCGGCTTGTGGGTGCTGCGTGTTCGTAATCGTTTGATGATCTTATTTCTTTGCTTGTTGTTGATTTTGTTGTTTTCACTTGTTGCGCTGTTGTTATCGCTTGTACTGCGCTTGTTTTGCTTGTTTTTGGAACAATTGTCGGCGTTTCTTTTGTCTCAGGCGGATTTGGTGCGGGTCGCTTTGGCTTGGTACCTGTCAATTTCTTGGTGTCTTCTGTGATGGCTGCTTCTACTGCCGTCGTCTCGTGTTCCACTTTTTTGCTGAAGAACTTCGATATCTTTTTCTTTGTCGTTTGTGGTTTTTGACTTTTTCCTGTGTGCGTTTTGGATTTATTAAAATTTTCAAAATTTTATTATTGTTAGCATCTCTTATAAGGATTAAATCTTACTTTTGATAACGCAACTTTAACTGTAACTCGAAAACAGGTGGAGAAAGTCCGAACATAACTGCATGCAAGTCATTATACATATACATAAGAAGGCTTATAGATACCTATTGTATATAAGAGGAAAGAATAATACATTCTAGTAGAACAATATTTTTTATTTTGGATATTTCAAACACGAGCAACTATGGAAACTAAAGGTTTTTAAACTCGAATAAAATTTCGTATGACTGATGTTATGAAAAACTAACGGATTTTTGAGTATAAAATACTAATTTTTTAATGGAGAAGTTATTATAAGAGCGATAAAGTTTAGGTAGAAACATATACTTACAAGTATAAATGTATAAACATTTATTGGTTTTACAGTTTAGTATTAAACATTTTCCTCCGAACTCCAAACTTTTTAGTCAGGAACTGCTGAGGAACTATATCATAGGTGATTATTACATAGCAATAGCTTGAGGATAAAAGCCATTCCGAGCTCAAGCGACATAGCTCGTTCTTCGTCTACTTGAGCATTCGTTTGGTTTTTTGGAATGTTGTATATCGTAGGTGAGGATTATACATCAATGTATTGAGAATAAAAATCATTCCAAGTTTAAGTGATCTAGCTCGTTCTTCGTCACTTGAGTGTTCGTTTGGTTTTTTAGAATGTTGAATATCGTAGATGATCATTATACATCAATAGTTTGAGTATAAAAGTCATTCCGAGTTTAAGCGACCTGACTCATCCTAGTTTACTTAAGTGTTCGTTTGGTTTTTCAATATGTTGTATATTGTAGGTAATCATTACATATCAATAGCTTGAGAGTAAAATTCATTCCGAGTTCGATAGAGTATAGTTAACAACATGCATAGATATGTATTTAACATATTATAAATAATCTTAAGCAAGAGTCGATCATTGTGATATTAATAAAAATTTAGATGATGTATAGTAAGTCCTCTTTATTCTATATGTTGTATTGACTGTATTTGGGGATCATTGTTACATTGAGCAAAATTCCAAATATATGTGCGTACTATTGTAAGTTTATCTCTGTTCCTAAATTTTTTTTTTTCAAAACTCAAAACTGTATGGAAAAGTTAAAATAATTTGTATGAAAGAAACTAAATTTTTTTTGCATGGAGTAGACCCAGTGTAGGTCAAAAAAGCACAATTTTGTAAATCACAATTACTTTTTGTACTCTTTAATGGATATATGAAGGAAATCATAGGGCCGTGGATATGTATAGCGAATTGTAAAGTAGTTTAATCTTTTCCATTGTAAGGTGAGCATATTTAAAGAGCTTCATCGCTTATATCCTTGATATGTTTACCGCTGAATTTAAACCTCTTTTTTTAATTCTATCAACATTCACAAGATTTTACTATTTTACTTTATGAAAATGAGTTGCAATGATATATTTGGTCAATTCTTCATAAAAAAACCCAGACTTAGACTGTCCTTGTGAAATCAATCTTGAAATTGGATATCAGCTATAGGTAACAAAGCCCTGAATCTATCCCAAATCGGCTAAGTTGTTTTATTTATATATTCGTTATTTCACCCGAATGCCTAAAAATATGAGATCCGATATATTTTAGTTTTGATCTGGTAAGTACAGGAAAAATATTGATGTGAATCGGCCTCTTCTTGTTTCAAATAGCTGATATAGCAGGCATCCGCTTATATGGCCAATTTGAAGGTGGTTGCGTTCTGGAGCAATAGATCTACTGCTACCTGTATTACAGTCACTTCCTAAAACTGGAGCTGATGGAAAGTTCCCGACAGTGAACTCCATGAACAACCCCTCCCGCAAGTTTTGATTTATCCGAAGTAAAACTTGCCGCCCCTCTGTTCCAGCGAATCCTACCCTCCCATGCTGCCTGTAAGGTATGTTGGCTGAGACGCGACAACTAACGCTAGGCTCATCAACCTGGCCATCCAATTATTTTGGAGTGAAGTCAAAGGGTCGAAGATTCCAGAGCGCCCAGACTTGAAATCACCTCAATACACAAATTCGCTAGTTCTTAGTTCACTAGTGCGCTAAAGGGTGGGGACCTTTGCCAACGGCTCTCCTGCTGTAATGCTGGGCAACAGATGCTCTTTCCTCGTTGTTGGTTGGTATCCAGGTATTTAACTATGTCAGAAGGGTCGTAGACTCTGTTGAGGAGCCCTCCCATTGCAGTTAGATGGGACTCTGGGATTTTATACTTACGAGTTAGTAAAACCAGTTCGGCCTTACTAAGATTTATGGAGATACCGTTTTGTCCAACCCTGTCGATTACGATGGTAAGTTACCCCTGATTTAGTTCATACACAGCACTCAGAAATACCGCAGCATAAGGAATTACTCGGCAGTCGACTCTCTCAAACTTTTTCAGAATATCATTGACAACGATGATCCAGAGAAGTGGCGACAAAACTCTTCCCTGAGTGCTACACCTACTCAAATTCAGTTATGCCCTCACCTGTGCTATTTCGCTACAATTGCTCTATCGTAGAATAGTTTGAAGGAAAGATGCTTAAGATTCTATAATTCTAAACATATTCAAAGCTCTAATAATCGCTTCTAATAATAATAACTCTTCTCGTTGTCGAAGCAGGTCCTCACTGCAAACCGCTTCTACCTTATGGTCCGCACGAGTCATGTGACAAGAGTGTGCAATGCAGTGTCTACTGACCTACCTTTGCAATAGGTACGTTATGACTTCGAAACTCGATTTCACTTCTACTGATAATACTAGCTCATTTTGTTGGTGATTTTCCATTGGAATTTGAAATTTCCCTAAGGAAATCTTTTGGTTTATGGAACGATTAGTATAACTATATATGAATTTTTTCTATGACACAGTATTTCCTACTTCGTTAATCGTTTGAGAATTTTATATATCTTTCCCTTGAGTGAATGAAATAATCGCACATCATTTAGCGCCAAAAAGTATGCAACATAAATTTTTATTTACTAAATTTTGTGAACTTAGTCACTAATGCAAGGCTCTTATCTATAAAATTAAAATTTCTTACATCACAGTTTCGAGAAAGAGTTGGAATTTATAATCAGTAGCCACTATGGATTTCTATATTTAAAATACAACTCTGCATAAGTTTTAGTTTTAATTTGCACAAACGTTACGCTTATGCAATCAGCATACATAACTGTTTTATATCCGTATAATTGTGCATTTTAATATGCGCGAATTTATCGTTCGCCTATGCCATATCGCCTGGCGAAAAGTTTATTCTCAACACACGGGAGTTGTCAATGAGCGAAACAGGCAACCAAGCGCATTCAGGAGCATATGCGCCGCAGCCACTGTATTGATGCACCGTTAGGTGTTGGTGAGCGCGTGTGGGTGTGTGATGAGTGGTGCATATTTTGCATTTTATGCAGCACCGCCGGTAATGACGGCAATGCAGCGACATAATTCGGTAGTTGTGCAGCGTTCTGTGGCAAGTTATACTAACTGTAAATGTACATTCAATTACACCCACCCACACACACACAAAAGCAGGCGAACCGTGGCACATAAATATGGTACACGCCAGCGCGTTGTTACGTTGCAAACTTAATTGACCACGTTTCAGCTGCGAAACTCCCCCGAGCGCAACGCAACGCAACGCGCCGTAATGCTCAACTCGTTCACAACACAACACCGCAGCAAAGAATCAAATTCACGCGGCAAAAGCGCAGCGGTGTGCAATGGCACCACACCCACACATACCCACAAACAACAGTACAAAGAGAATGGCAGAAAAAATGAATTGGAAACCGATGGCGGCGTCGGTGGGGTAGTTGGCAGAGAAAAATTGCCATAAAAATATTTGAAGCGTACAAAATTTGATTTTGAATTTAGACTTTTGGCCGCGTGACGAGTGACAACACAAGCTGCTGTTACGTAATGGCGTGCGCTTAAATGTGTGTGGCTACACCGTCGCCGCGCAAAGGCTGCAGGAAAGTGTCAACAAGTGTATGCAGGTATATGCACATACCTATTTATATACATATATATATCTAATGCATATTAGGGTGAGTTTGCTGAGAAATACATTTCAAAAAAGTACACGGAAATTGTAAATAAAGCGCAAAATTTTTAATTATTCATCAATATTTATTTTGTCGCCTTCAAAGTAATTCCTACCGGATGTAATACGCTGATGTCAACGATTTGTTCAGTCCTCACTCTTCACACTTTTCATAAGCTATATCCGAGACGGCCTTCAGCTTCTTCAGCGAATTTTGTTTTACCTCTTCGACCTTTTGATCGAGTTTAACGGAGCGGTATTTTTAGTTTCGGCAACAAGAAAAACTCACATGGAGCCAAATCTGGTGAAAATACATGATGCACCAAAATACGAATACCGAAAAAACATTGATGTGTTTTTTTGGTTTCGGCTCGTTGTTTTCCCTCCATTTCGATGATCTTTGACTTGTTTTCATGTTAAACTCAAAACCCATGTCACATCGTCAGTTATAAGCTCTCCATGAATGTGGGATCGGAATTCGCATGATCAAGATTGTCTAAAGGGACTTGTTTATGGTACTCGTTTTGAAAAAAAAAAAAACAGCTTTATCGGGACGTGTCGAGTAGGCCGTCTGAGAGGGCATTCGTAGGTTGTGTTTTTGATAAAACTGAACCAAAAATGGAGAGAAACCGAAGACACCAAAGTTCGCTTTAAACTTTAAAGACCATCCCAGACGAGGCTTATAACAAGTGTATGGAGAAATCGATTAACCCTTCCTTTCATTGGCTCAAAAGCAGACTATTTCGAAGGCGATAATAAATACTTCGACAAAATTACGTGAAAAATTATTATTTTTTGGCAGTCTGGATCATATTTGATCAGATGTTATGTTGCTTTTTAATCTGTAAATTCCATTTTTATACTCTTGCAACCAGTTGCTACAGAGTATTATAGTTTGTTCCCCCAACGGTTGT